CAGTTGTGCTTGAACTTGGATACCTCTGCCTCATCTGGAGTGGGTTTCCTGTCTGTCACAGGACACTGACTGGGAGGACCTGAAGTAGATGTCATCTCCCTCTGCCACCCTAGTGACACTGGGTGGTGGCTCTCTCAGTGTGGACTCCTGCCATAGAGTCCTCTAGGTGTGAGGCCCCGCCCTTCTGCCTCCTTTCGGGGCCTCCGTGTGGAGACACCACTCGCTCTGTCTGGGAAGCTGGTCAAGAGCAGTTGGCTGGAAGATAAAATTAAGAGGAAGCAGGGTGGCAGAGCTCGGCTTCCGGCTGGAGCTTCCTGAGGGTGGCCGGGGCGACAAGAATCAGGCCTCCTGACAGGGTTTCCTCCTATCAGAGATGGCAGGACACAGAAGCCGCCATGCAGCTTGCCCCTGGCTCCCCTGGAGCCCCAGTTAGAAATGGTCAGGTCTCCGACTCAGCTAGTCCTCTCCGGAGAATTACTCTTTCTTTTCCTGGCCCGATAATTCTGTTTCTTTTCTGGGCAGATGAGTCCCAAACACCGTATTGAAATCCCGTTTCCCCCTGCAGAATGCTCCGCCGCCGCCGCCACCGCCGCCACCATCTGTAGAGGCCACACATAGCCCTGTAAGGCCAGCGTTTGAGGACGGGAGGAACAGAGAGGATGAGCCTTGACCTATGTGTGCATCTCCAGCAAGTGGCGAGCAGCAATTGAGTTCTGCCTTCTAGGCTCTCCTGCCCTCTGCTGGCTGCCTGTGAAAGGGTCTCAGCTGCTGTGTTGTGACAGTTTGAGCCCAGGAATAGACCTGGTGACACCAAAACAGGCAGAGGCCTCTGCTCCGGCTCCCGTTATGTGCCTGGGACATTGGAGTGTGACTTTTCCTGGGAAGACAGAGAGGGCACTGACATACCAAAGAAAGGGTTCTGCCTTAGGCCACCCTGGGAGAACCAATGAGTGTATGGAGCTACTTACAGTCCTACCCCAGTTAACTGCTGTATAGTGGTGATGAGGGTCTCAGGATGGGAGGAGGGAGAGGCTCCAAAACTTCACAGCTGCGCCTGGTCCTTGCATCCTGTGCGGGCCGATTGCCTGCCCTGGACCCTGCAGATGTACATGCACAGCGTTCAGATGTCTACATCTGTGAGACATGTAGAGGCAAGTGTAATATAATGAGATCTGTTTACGGAGGCTGGCAGGTCCTCTTAAAGGTCTACTGCGTCCATTCCAAGTAAACACAAATTGATGGGGTGCTCCTCAGCTAAGGGGATGCTACAGATCAAAGCAAAACCAACACACAGAAACCTCCTGGGCCATACAGTGTGAAGAGGTGCCACCACATGTACTGTGGTTCCTTCAAAAAGACGAAGATGGGACCAGCGAGGCAGTTCAGCTGATAAAGCGACTGTTATTTGAGCCTGGGCCTGAGTTTGATCCCAGGGACCCATGGAAAGGTGGAAGGAGAAAACGGACTCTAGGGAAGTTGTCTTCTGACCTCCAAACGTGTGCCAGTGCACACATGTGCTCCATCACACATGTGCACCACACGTGCACACACGGGAATGATATGAAGTTAATTAGTTATTTTTTTAAAAGAAAGCTGTTGGCATGGGAGCGCTATCTGCCTTGCTGTTTTGTTTTTACCTGCCATACCTGGCTACTGAAACGGCTTTAGACTAAGTGAATTTTCTCTCCACCCTGTAGTCTCCCATTGTTCCCAGCCACACACGACCGCCTTTATAAGTCCCATCCTCAGAGCAGGGTGTGTCCCAGCCGTACACCCACCCCTACCTTCTTACAGGGGAGAAATGTGTAAGTCGAATCTTGAGCAGGTGTTAATTACAACCCACTCAGGACAAGTTTAGTCTCCATATATATATATATTTTTTTTTTTGGTTTTTTCGAGACAGGGTTTCTCTGTGTAGCTTTGCGCCTTTCCTGGAACTCGCTTTGGAGAACAGGCTGGCCTCGAACTCACAGAGATCCGCCTGCCTCTGCCTCCCAAGTGCTGGGATTAAAGGCGTGCGCCACCACCGCCCGGCTTAGTCTCCATATTTTTACCTACATGGTTCCGTTTCCTGATCCATCCCCAGCCCCATGTTTTCAGAGGCTGCCATGAATCAAGGTGTATGTGATTCCACCAAGGTGTATGTGGCTCCACCAAAGGACAAGTATTCTGCCTATCAGCAGGGGAGCAAACGATCCACAGTTGGTTGTGGGGCCTCAGGTCCCTCTGCCTAGCCCTTACCTGCAGGGGATTCCCATGCCAGTGGACCCCCTTCCCCTGCAGAGTGGGTACAGCAGGGATGGCCTACACCTCCCCATCCTTCACCCCTTTGGTGAACAATTGTTTGGGCTTGAAGCCTTCCAGGAGCTCCCGAACACAAATTGGACATTGTCACTTTCTCATCCTTTAGGCAGGCCAGTTTCCTCTGTGCGGACGACTCAGCCTCGGCTGCTTGTCTTGCCACTCCTAGCCGGGGCCCTGTGGCTGCCACCACAGCTTTCTTGCTGGGGCCCCGTGGCTGCCACCGCAGCTTTATTACCATCCGCCCCACAGGTGCTACTTTCAGAGACTGCGACACAGCATCCAGCCAGTCCATCAGCCGCTTTGGAGGCATCTCACTGCCCATGTGGTGTGTCCCATCCAACAAGGAGGCATAGCATCCCTTACCACATCACACGGGCATGCAAAGAAATGCAGGCACCGGGCGGTGGTGGCCCACACCTTTAATCCCAGCACTTAGGAGGCAGAAGCAGGTGGGTCTCTGAGTTTGAGGCCAGCCTGGACCACAGAGTGAGTTCCAGGACAACCAAGGCTATGCAGAGAAACCCTGTCTAGAAAAACAAAAGCAAAAAAAAAATTTTTAAAGAATTTTTAATTTTTTTTTTTTTTTTTTTTTTTTTTTTTGGTTTTTCGAGACAGGGTTTCTCTGTGTAGCTTTGCGCCTTTCCTGGATCTCGCTCTGTAGACCAGGCTGGCCTCGAACTCACAGAGATCCGCCTGCCTCTGCCTCCCGAGTGCTGGGATTAAAGGTGTGCGCCACCACCGCCCGGCTTGTTCTTTTTTTTTTTTTTTTTTTTTTTTTTTTTGAATTTTTAATTTTTTATCACACAGAGGTTGGTTACCCTGGGGTTTCCCCTCAGGGTATGCCTCAGCCTGATTTCCCTGGGCACAGGAAGCTCGGCCTCGGTTGTTATGTCTGAAGGCCCATGCTGCTGTCACCTCAGTTAGGAGGCATGTCCCTCGCAGAGTCTTTCCCAGGGATGCTCCACCCTACTCCTCTTTGGTTCCGTCTGTTCTCTGTAGGTTCCACTGGTTGTGTGATTTTCTCTGGGAGAGAAAGTGAAGAAGCTTCTATTCACTCCAGATAGACAGGGCATGGGCAGATCAAAGAAAGGGTTTTGTCCAAGCCAAACGCAGTGAACCAGAGAGTTCAATGGAGTTATAGGGGCGGGCCAGTTTATAGGCAGCTGCACCCCCAGGAAATCCCATCCCGGTCAACTGTTAGCTTAGGGCACAGCAATTACAGTCTCGTGAGGATCATGTGATGACCTCTCAAGCTCTCTGAGGCTCATGACCCTTGGGAACCTCTCCCCAACCCACCTCCCGAGGGAATGCTGAGAGGCCTGAGCTCACGGATTGTCACAACTGCTTGACTTCAAGATGGAGATGATCTGGTCAAGCCGAGCAAACAACTGTATCACAGGCATCATGCTAAACCTCTCATCTGTGAAATGGGCACAGTGCTCAGTTCTCGGGGCCGTGGGGATTGAGTCACGGTGCCAGCATTAATTATGTCTGAGTTATAAAGCTGCGTCTCAGTGCTGTGTGCCTGCCCTCTGTGCCCTCTCACCCCCTCAGCTCAGCTCCTCTCAGCTCTGTGGAGTGAGACACTGACAGAGAGGAGGCGTGGGTGGGCCTGCTGAACGCTGCCATGCTCACAGTTCTGGGAAGACTTAATCGGGGCAGGAAAGGGACCCCTCATGCCTAGCCCTGAGGAGACTGGCCTATGAGGGTGTTTTAGGCTCTGAGGAGGCTGTGACTGTGTGCCTAGCTGCTGGGCTGAGCCTCTGATGCTATCTGCTCCCTCAGAGATCCAGCCAGCGTCCGGCTCCGGCCTGGGCAGGGTATCAGGTCTGTGGGAGGCAGGAAGCTTTCAGAGCGTGTCTCTTGGTGCAGAAGCCAAAGCCGTATGTTTCCCGCTCCACAGCACTGCCTCGGGCTTCTTTAAGGGCAACCATGAATAGTGGCAAGGTTTGAAAACTGGACCAAGCTTCCAGGAACGAAGAGGGGTGGGGCCTGAGTACTGTTAGATGTTAGATGTTAGCCTGGCAGCTGCCCCGGGCTGGTTCCCAGCATGTCCTGTGCCCCTGTGGCCAGGCCTGCCAATCTCCATGGCAAATCCACAGGATTTCTGCCCCACTTGGGCGTTCATGCGTCCCGAGTTTTGACAGGTCCCGCCTCTCTCTGAGCTTTCATTCCTCATCCTTAGAATGCAGTAGCAACCCCGGCCCGGCCTGGCCCGAAGAGCCTCTTTTTGTACTCCTCATGAGTTCTGTGGAGGCCTGTCACTTGACTGCTGCGGCTGGCCTTCAGGGCTGACTGGAAAGGGAGATCCACTCAAGGCAAGGAGAAGCTGGTGGCCCAGGGTCCAGCACTCAGATCTCTCTTCAGCCATCAGCCGCCATCTCACCGTAGTGGAAAGGCTCTCTGGCCAAGGAGGGAGAGAAACAGTCCAGGCAGGACTTGGGGTATGGTTGGGCTTGTACCTCCCTTCTGTGGGAGAGAGGGCAGCGAGTCCTTTTCCTGACTTGGAGAAGCAGCTAGGCCCTCAGGTCCTCATGATATCCTCTCCCTCCCTGCAGGATATCTGTGACGATCCCCGCCTCTTTGTTGATGGCATCAGCTCCCACGACCTGCACCAGGGTCAGGTAGGCAACTGCTGGTTTGTGGCCGCCTGCTCGTCCCTCGCCTCCCGAGAGTCACTCTGGCAAAAGGTAAGGTCTGGGGACAGGCAGTTGCAGGGGCTGGTCAAAGAGCCCATGGCTCTCACTGCCTGACAGGTGTGGCATCAGTGAGGCATGTGGAGCTTCCTGAAAGCCTGGTGCTGGGACGGGCTGAGCATCAGTTAGCAGGTTGGCCTTCCCTCACCTGTTTAGCCTGGGGGTCCTCGGAGTAATTCCCAGGGTGATCCTGAGGTGTCCCCTCTGCAGCTGCTGAGGGACAAGTGTCCATGGAGCAGAGACTCCCACTGTGAAATGTGCACACTGACTGTGTTATCCTCGGGGTAGAGACACTGCTCAGCACTCAGTTACTGCTGCGTGGCATGGGCTAGCTGCTGTTTCTCTGGACCTCGATTTTCTCAGTTGTTGAACAGGCTGTGGTCCAGGCAGCTCCATGTTTCATGATTTCCGGGTTCATGCTGCTGATGTTTGGGCCAGGGGCAAAGGTTTGGGGAATGATGGAGTGGGTCCTGGGCCTGCCACTTGGACCTGCTTGGCAACACTCAGCAGGAGACCTTAAATATAGTCCTTAAAATTACCTTCCTGGAGAGGGAGGCCGTTTTTCAGTTACGTAGTGAGCTCAAGACTAGTTGGGATGTATGAGACCCTGTCTGAAAGCCATGAAGAAGAAGAGGAAGAGGAGGAGGAGGAGGAAGAGACATTTTCTTATAGGACCCCTGGCAGTGTGGCTCTCAGTCAATGATGGCTGCACTAACTTGTTTTAGAATAATTATTATTCCTACAACCTAAGAGTGTTCTGGGCAGGGGGGATGGCTCAGCAGGTGAAGAGCCTGGGCTTCAAGCCTGAGTTTGATCCCTAGGACGTACATGGTGGAAGAAAGGAATGGACTCCCACAAGTTGTCCTCTGACCTCCATCTGTGCCCCCCTGATAAACAAACAAACAAACAAAACAGGACACAGGAATAGGGTAGGTTTTTCCTTGCTTTCCCAGGCATCGCCAGCCATCAGAGGGAGCTGTGTCCTTAGCCAAAGCCAAGAGCTTGGCAGGTCCTCTATTATCCTTTCCTGTCTCCTGGACAGTGGGGCCCCTAGCGACCCAGTAGGTATCCCGGTCAGGGTCACAGCAGCTGCACGGTGTGGGCCTTTGGTACTCAGATGGAGCCCACTGTTATGGCTTATAGGGATGGGGAGTCTATGCTGGACAGCCTCAGACTGGAGGGTGAAGGAGGATAGGTCTGTTGTGGGCATCAGGGGTTACAGAGGATTCAGACTGGAACCATCCTCTGGGTGGAGGACTGGTCCTCAGCACTGCAGCCTCCAGCCCCGACTCTGAGCAAGGGCTGCAAGGCCTTGGCCTGGGACTGGAGGGGCATGTGGGCCCTGTGTGCTGCTCCGCTCTGCCCTGTAATTGCCTGTTTATCTGAGTCTCCCCTCTAGAGGTGAACTCCCCAGGGGCAGAGCTGGCCCAGTCTGCCCCTTCCTGCTGAGCCTGGGGTGGGGAGCAGAGGGAGGACCCAAGAGCTTGAGGAACAGAGGGATGCCCTACCTTGAACCCAGTACAGCCCCGTGGCTCCAAAGCTGACCTTGCTGCCCATTTCCCGTGGGTCTCTTGATGGACTGGAGGCCAACTAGGTCTGGCTATGCACTGACAGGGAAGATACTCACCTTGCTATCTCACTGTCTTGGCCTCCCAAGCCCTGCTTCCTGTCTAGCTGGTGGAGAAGTTGGCCTGCTTGTGGAAGCCTGCCTCTCATCAGTGTGGAACCTCAGCCTTCCGCAGGGCTGAGACTCCAGCCATGGTGGTCTCCCAGGCTGATCTCCAGGAGTTTGGCCCTGGGGGAGGCTGGGCTGGGCTCTATGCTGATTGCATTCCACCTCCACATGCTGTTGTGGTGACAGTCCCTGGCTCATGCGGGGAGGCCCTGGGGAGCTCATTACTGCACCCGTACATCCCCTGCAGTCCCCACTGACTGGAACCTGTTTGTTGTCACCCCTCTAGTTCTGTCCTGTTGCCCTGCAGGGCCTCCCCTGCCTTACTCTGTTTTTTTCCCCTGGAAGGCCAGTAGGGGTGAGTTGTACCCTGAGCCCCGCCCACCTGCACTCTCCCTGTGCTGAGTTTCAGATGCAGATGTAGCATGCCTGGGGCACTCTTGCCCTTCCTCTAGGAAGCTGTTCCTTTATTCCTAGACCTCAAGGTGATCTGGGGGCTGATGGGCACAGGAGTCAAAGCCAGCCATGCTGAGTTTGTCCTGGCTGCTCGTCACTGACCTTGGCCTCAGTGCCAACCTGACTTGCCAGGCCCCATAGACCAATCCAGGGTGTTAAGAAGGGCCGTCCTTGCACGCTTTCTCGCCCACCCTTCCCTTGTGCATCCCACCTAATTATCTGTTCTCTAGGGCTCCCTCTCTTATGGGCTCCCAGGTCGGTACGGCCTCCTCCAACTCAGTGGTTTGTTCCCTAAGGCAGACCGTGGATTTGAGGTGATCAGGCCGCGTGAATTCACAATTAGGATATGATTAGATTACATACTTGTCATCAGGCTCAGCTTAGGCCAGATCCAAGGCTCTCTGGAGGATGTCCTCTACAAGTGCCTAGTGCAGCCCCAAACATGGGATGGGCCTGCTGCCTGCTCTCAGCTGCCCGGGACCCAGGAGTAGCCAGCCAGGGTCCTGGCTGGAAGTAAGGACCGAAGTGACCATAGTACAAAGTTAGGGGGCAGGGAGTGAGGCAGGGGGTTGTCGGTCCTGGGCAGTGCTGGAGAGAGCCAGGGGTGCTGGGACCAGGCAATCTCTGTTTCCAGTTTAAATGTTTCCCAGTTTTTAGGGCTTGCAGGAGGGAGATCTTGGATTCAAGGCTCGCTTGGGCTGTTCATTAAACCCTGTCTCATTAGCAACAACAATCAATGGAATGTGTCCCACTCTGTCCCAGCTCATGCCTCAGTTCTGAACTGGTTCATTGAGAAGGGATGAGTGAAGGACTTAAGCCGTGTCCTGTGTAGACGGTATGATCTGGGGACTGGAAGATGTGAAATGCACAAAAGGCCCACGTAACCTTCACCGCCCAGAGGCTGCCGTGTTAGGGGCTTTCTTATTTTCCCTCTTCTCCGCTGAGGAGACAGTCCGTGATGCTTGCTTTGTTTTCAGGCACACTCTGCAACCACAGATGCTGCTTCAGAGCGGCCTTTCTCTCCTGAGTTCCCTCCTCCATCCAGCCTTGGGTGGCTCCTCACAGGGTCTGTCCAGCGGCTGGCTGAGCTGCATCCACCTCCTCCTTCCCTCACTGACCACAAACTTATCACACAGCTCTTTGCTGGCCCCTTCCACCTGCCCTGTCTGTGGGTCCCTAGGACAGCAGTCACTTCATTCCTCACCCTTGACTTCCTGCAAGGCGTACCCCTCTCCCAGCCCCCCTAGAGTTTCTGGACCCTGGATCCCCTTGGGGATTAGGAGAGGCTGACAACCTCCCCTGCTCCTTCCCTCGGGATGCAGAAACCCGACTTCTTTCCCCTGCCTGTGTCCGTCTGCACAGATGCCAGCTTCCTCAGCCTCAACCCCTGGCATTGCTGTCCTTGCCAGCCTGCTGTGCTGGCTTGTTGCCTGGCGCGAAGTGCTTGGCGCCTCTTATTTCTCCTCCTTTCTGGACATCGTTATGTCTGTGAGGTTAATACCTGCCCTCGGCCCTTGACCCCCATTACTCTGATCGTAGTTTTTGGCATCAGCGCCATCCATCTTCACCTTCAGCCACTTGTTGCTGTACCCACAGCTTGTGTGGAGCCCCTTTCCAGGAGTGCTTCAGACCCTTCTCTCCCTCACCTTCTAGGCCTCCGAGTCCCTTCATCACCTTTTGTGCTTGTCATTCATTCATTCATTCATTCATTCATTCATTCATCCATTCATTCATCCATCTAACATTCAGCATTTCTGCCATCCACTTGGCTTTGTGAACATCCTCTGAGCATGGCAAGCTGTGTTCTCACTTACAGTGATGAACAAGACAGACAGACACACACCCGCTGGAATCCAGTTCAGTGGGAAAGCGCCGGCCTGCCCTGTGCAAAACTCAAGTTTCCATCCCCAGCACCCTCCTCACACACACCAGCTATCACACCACACCCTCGCACTTTCACGTATTCACACTCATGCACGCACACTCTCTAACACTTAAGCAAACACAAATACGAATTGGGCTTGCTGTGATGCTTGGTGGGTAAAGGTGCTTGCTGCCTTACAATCTGAGTTCAGTCCTGGAACCCATACGGTGGGTGGAGAGAACCGACTCGCTCAGACTGTCCCCTGACCTCTACATGTGCCCTGTGGCATGTACACACACACGCACACGAACACGCATGCGCACGTACACGCACACGCACACGCAAATGCAATGAAAAGAATTTAAGGTCAGAATGTCGTGCTGGAGGCACAGAGGGTAATCCTCTTCAGAGAGGAACCGGATGCCCTCACTAACAGCTCTTGGCCACACCGTCCTGAAGGCCGGCGAATGAGCAGGAGGCTTGGTTCGTCTCTTACCATACCGTTTTCTGGAACTGCTGCTAGTGGCCCCAAGAACTCGCCCCAGGGCTTGAGGTTGATTTATTTTTCTCAGTTCTGGGAACTGAATCCAGGATCTGTCCAGGCTAGGTAAGGGCTCTGTCACGGATACCACTGAGCTCCTCTTCCTTCATCCTAAAATCCCCAATGGCAAGGTTGAGGCAGGAGGATTGGGAGAGTGAAACCAGTCTAGGCGACCTACTGGGATCCTGCCTTAAAGTAAAAGGAACATATATCGGGATGTAGTTCAGTGAAAGGGGCCTTGGGTTCGGTTCCCAGTACTGCAGAGACAAGCAACCCCAAATAAAAACCGTGAAGGCTCACACCTGTAATCCCTGCACGTTGGAGGCTCAAGCAGGAGGATTGCTGGGAGTTTGAAGCCAGCCCGGATGGCTACACAGTGAGACCTTGTCTCAAAAGAAAAAAAAAAAAGCCAACCCAACAAGCATGCTGTCCATCATGGTGCCCTGTGCTTCTCCTCAGCCCAAGATCCCACTGGGTCCCTTGGCCTCCATGTGGCAAAGCAGCATGCTTCTGTCCCCTGACCCTCCCGACTGTTTCCAGTCACCACACCTTGCGCCATGCCTCTTTCCTGTGTGTGACAGCAGCGTCTCTGGCTCTGCTGCCCAGACGCACTTCAGATTCCAGGTCTGCCATCTGTCCACATACACTGACTGGGTTCTGCCTCTCTCCCATCCTCCTCGCCAGTGCGTGGGTCTCCTGATGCTTCCCTGGGGAGGTGGAGGATCAGTGTAGGTGGAATGGCCGGTGGGATTTTGATGGAAGTGAGAGCCGGGCCTGTGGCTATGTGGTGTAGTGTGTGGTGGGATCGATCAAACCACGGCATCCCGGAGCAGAGCCAGCCATCTGTCAGGCAGGCGGTTTGGGATTTGAGAGCTGCGGGTTCAGATGGGAGGTGACAGCTGGGCTGGGTCCTGCTGATGTTATGGGAGAGGGAGAGGCCCAGGGCATTCGGAAAGCAGCGTTGACAGGACCTGGCAGGTAGCTATGAGGGAATGAAGGGAGGAGGAGGAGGAGGCAAGAATGGCCCCCAGCTGGCTCGGCTGACTACAGAAAACTACTGATGGGTGCATCTTGGTGCTGCCCTGTCCCCTCTTCCCGGACAGTCTTCAGTTACCTCCACGTGTCTGTACCCCCCCACCTCTCTCCATTCCTCACAAACAAGCAGGCCTCCAGCTTGCCACTACTACTGTAGTCAAGGCGGTTGCCACAGCAGTTGACATCAGTGCTCTGGTCCCTAAGGAGCCTGTCACCCTCCAGCCTGCCTGCAGCTCGGCATTACCACTTCTGCAAGGAACAGATAGGAGGCACTTGGAGACACACTCACCGGTCGGTCTCCTGTTCTGAGAACTGGGTGGGGCCAGAGAGGGCCAGCGGCGAAAAGGAGAGGCTGGAAAGGGAGGCGGGCCTTCAGGTGGCCTCTTCAGGCATCTGACGCTCCAGCCCACTTGGTTCCTTGACGTTGGTGGGAGCGGCGGCAGTGGCAAGAGCTGTAGCGCTTGGGCCATGGCAGAGGACGGGCCACCGAAGCAGCAGCTGGACATGCCGCTGGTTCTAGACCAGGACCTGACCAAGCAGATGCGGCTCCGTGTGGAGAGCCTGAAGCAGCGTGGGGAGAAGCGGCAGGATGGGGAGAAGCTGCTCCGGCCGGCCGAGTCTGTCTACCGCCTTGACTTCATCCAGCAGCAGAAGCTGCAGTTCGATCGCTGGGATGTGGTTCTGGACAAGCCGGGCAAGGTCACCATCACGGGCACCTCGCAGAACTGGACGCCTGACCTCACCAACCTCATGACACGCCAGCTGCTGGACCCTGCTGCCATCTTCTGGCGCAAGGAAGACTCCGACGCCATGGATTGGAATGAGGCCGATGCCCTGGAATTTGGGGAGCGCCTGTCTGACCTGGCCAAAATCCGCAAGGTCATGTATTTCCTCATCACCTTCGGCGAGGGCGTGGAGCCTGCCAACCTCAAGGCCTCCGTGGTGTTTAACCAGCTCTGATGACCAGCCCTGGCTGCCCTGCTTCTGGCCCACAACTCTCCCTCGCCTGAACCTCCTTCCTCATCTTTATTTTGGGGACATTCTTCTAGCTGCTCCTTCAGTGCTTGACTTGGCCAGAGGCCTCCTGAGTCCTACATACCCCCCCCTTTGGTGCCAGTGCTGTGGCTCACAGGGATGTCCCCTGGCTCCATAGTCTAGAAGCTAGACACTGCTACCATAGACAATAGAGGCCTTTGTGGGCAGATGGCTGGGCATCCTGGACATGTGCCGTCTCTGCTTCATTGTGGTGGAGAGAGGGGGATTGAGAGACGAAGAGCTCCAAACAACCAGCCACTGATTTCCTTCAGGCACGGGAGACTGAGACACGACAGGAACTACCTTCTGGGGAACCTGGCAAGAAGGCATTTGCCTGCTGGCCAAAGCTGGAGTCGGGAGGTGAACGCCCAGGGGCACTCTGGCAGCAGGAGGGTGCTGGCAGTGTCAGTGTCCCCCTGCTGTGACCTTGGGGCCTTCAAGACGCTGGGCAGGATGACAGCCGGGCTTGGTCTGTCTGGCAGAGGGTGGCCGGCTTTGCAGGCCTGGCCCAGGTTTCTGTGGAGAAGGTAAAGGACATGTAGATGCTGGCACAGCTCTAGCTACACACACACACACACACACACACACACACACACACACACACACACACACACACACATATTGAGAGATGGCATGCTATATTTGTATGGATGCGTGCCCAAGGGCGAATACTAGTCAGGAATAAGGCTAACTTTAGTTCAGTTGGTACTGGTTCCTGGGCATGGTGGAGGTAACCCTGGCTGAGCCCTCCTTGGTTCAAGGCTTCCTGAACTGGGAGACTGAGGCTCAAATGGTGAAGCAGAGAACTGAGTTAGAGGGGTCCAGGGCTCTGAGCCAGGAATACTGATGTCCCTGTTAGGATGGCTGGCCTTTGCAGCTCCGCTGGTCAGGAACATGGGTATTGTGTCCTGCGGTCACCTCTCTGGGCATTTACTGGTTCTGCTGGAGTGGAAGCACATGGGTGAGGCTTGGGGGCAGGGCTGAGTCTAAAGTGGGCTAAAGGTGTCCAGATGGGATGCCTAACACTGGCTTCGGAGGCTATCCAGGAAAACCCACTCACCGAACTGACAGGGAAACTGAGGCACAGTTATTGGCAGATTCAGTCCTGCCCTAAAGCCTCATTTTCCTTCACCCTGCACATGCCGAGAGCCTCCCTTTGAGGAGAAGCCTCACCTGCCACCTAGCATCAGCCGGGGGCACCTCAGCAATGCCACCCACTCTGTTTCAAGGCTGCCTCCATCTGAGGTACCAGTGCATCAAGATCTGAAGGTAGGAGCTGTTCCAGCGGGTGGGCGGCCAGGAGGGCAAGCCCCGGCTCAGAGTCAGGATTCTGGAGGCAGGAGATAGGCTGTGGCACTGGCTCTGGTGGCTGTGCTCTGTCGCATGCTTGCAGAAGCACCTGCTAGTGCGTCTAGACTCTGCTGACTCTAGGGAGCCATACCTGGGCAGGGGCCGTACTTTTCTGCTTCTCTTTCTGACCCCTCCCTCCCGCTCTCGAGACCCCTTTGGTTCACACTGCCCGTCCCCCAATTCTGTCTCACCCCATTTGCCCTGTGGGGACCTGAGTGTCTCTGCTGTGCCTGTCCCGTGTCCCCAATAAAGACTGTGTGCCCTCACCTTTGTAGCGTGGTGTGGTGTGCCTCTGTGGTGTGGTTTGTAGTCCTTGCTGCATGCTCATAGCACAAGTCCTCCCCATGGGCCCTTGCAGTTCCGACGAACCCCACCCTGCCAACAGGATGGGTTGAGCAGTGAGGTCCCGTATCAGGACTGGGTTTCACCTGTTAGTCTCCTGACTGTCCTGCAGGAACCAACCCAGCCTCTGGGGCATGCAAGAGCAAGCTGAGGCCGAGCTTGGAGCAGGGACCTTGGGAGTGGCTCGGGAGTGGAATGACAAGATGGACACCAGTTTAGCCTGGTCTTGGTCACTGCGTGGCTGTGTCCTCTAGGAGCCCCTGACCCTCTCCTGGCCTTGACCTTCAAGTTAGTCCCTGGTTCTGCATTGTCTCTTCAAAGCTGTCTTCTCTGACCCTGGCGCTGGGCTAGCTGGAGGGAGCGTCACCTTGGAGCCCCACTGCTCCTTCATGGCTCAGCCCTCATCATCTCCCATATTCACCCATTTTTGGATAGGGACAGCTGAGGCCCAGTGGAGGAGGGAGGCCTCCATCCCGAGGCATGGAGGGGTAGACTGGGAATCGGGCTCTGAGCCCCTGGACCTTTGATCCCACAATTGTGACCTCCTGTGATAGGCTTGGGAAATACGTTCTCCCACCTCTTCTGAGGACCCAAGCATATTAGGATGGCTTCCTACAGAGAAAGGTGTCAGGGGGCTCCGTGGGTTGGCTGGCAGATGCCCCTAGCTTCAGGGTGTCCAGGGGTTCTCTCCTCAGCTCCTGTCACCTTGCTCCCACTCATAGCATTCAGAGACATTTCCCAATGCTGCCTTCCCCGGCTCAGGAGCCTCTGTGTTCCCGTGTGCACCCTCCCCACACTACCTCCATCCATTTTATCCTGCCAGCCTTAAAGCTTTGCCCCCTGAGAGGGGCAAAGTCCAGGAGAGGAATCCGGCTTCCAGCCCCTGGACTGCAGTGATCTGGCCCTGTTCCCAGAGCATACACATACAGTGGCTATGACCCATTTGCCATGGAAACCACTGGGGATCGTGGAACAAGGAGTCCTGCTGTCCTGGAGCCTCTGCCTGGCAGAGAGCCAGTGTCTGCAGCTCTGGGGCCCTGTGCTGCCAGCCACTGACCAGCTGTGTGGCCCCAGGCAGCCTCTCGGAGCTGTTTTCTACCTGCTAGTCAGCGGTGCCTCCCTTACAGGTGCTGGGAAGGTCAAACGGAGAATGTCAGGGGAGCTGACGTCCGGAAGTCACTTGTTTGTCAATGGCCTCCGACGGACGCTATAGATCATCTTGGGAGAAGTGTTGGGGGGTCTCTTCGCTGAGCAAGAACTTAAGATTCAGAGAGGTAAAGGGTGTTGCCAGCAGCTACACATCAGCCAATGCTGATGGCAGTAGGTGCTGTGGAGGGACAGGCGGGTGCCAGGCCAGACAGACTCTGTGTCCCCAGAGAGTGGTAATGGGATGGATTTCCCCTCATTATAATCAGGCTCAGATGTCCCACTGAAGGGACCTCTCACCATCACACTGTGCCTCGAGAGTGGAGGACCAGAGTTCTCCTGCCCTATGAGCAGGAGTCACTGTGGCCCCAGCAGTGTGGCCCATCCTGAGCTCTGGACTATTGTCCTGGGACACAGGGATGGTACATGATTTCCTGACCTCTCCATTCACTGTATCTGAAACCCGGGTTGGGGGGGGGGGGTTGAGGCTTGTGAAATCAGAAGCCAAGGCTTGAGGAATCCCACAGCAGGGGGATCCTAGTTGGAGACACAGAGAACCCCCTGCAACCCCCCCTTACCATTGCATCAGGGTTGCTCAGAAGTGCCCCAAGTTGGCCCTTGGGATCTAAAGCAGAGATCAGAGAGGCTCCTGCCTGTCCCTCATTCTTCACACTCACTTTCACACTTGCTCACACTACATACCGACCCTGGGGAGTGTCACCCTTCCTGGGCTCTTGACCCCCAAGCCCAGTGTAGGCAGGTGCTGCCCAAGAGGGATTCCAGCCAGGCTCTTCAGTTTGAGGAGTGCCCAGGAAACTCAACACCAGAGAGCGCTGTGGGGCACCCTCTGTGCACTGTGTGGCTCTCACAGACACAAACACACACACACACACACACACACACACACACACACACACACACACACACACAAGGCAAGTAGTGTTGGAGGGTTTTTTTTGGTTGGTTGGTTTTGGTTTTTTGAGACAGGGTTTCTCTGTGTAGCTTTGGAGCCTTTCCTGGAACTCACTCTGTAACCCAGGCTGGCCTCGAACTCACAGAGATCTGCCTGCCTCTGCCTCCCAAGTGCTGGGATTAAAGGCGTGCACCACCCCCTCCCGGCCCGTGTTGGAAGTTCTTGATGACTCTGGGAGGCAGATTTCTGAGGGGCGGTCTGCCTCCCTGCCCCTACATTCTTAGACTGATATGTCTGCAGATAGCACAGCCCTTTACAGTGTGTGACCGTTCTCATGGCCATCTGTTATCATTGTAACAGCCCTGGAGGTGGGGGTAGGGAACTTAGGGGCCTCGCTCTGACCAGAATTCACATTTTCCAGCCAGCTTTGGTGCAGAGCCAGGCCCTGTACTGGGTGCTAGGAATCCAAGGAGGAACCACATTTGAGGAAATCCCTCCCAGTGGGTGAGGAAAGACTAGTGCAGGGGAGCCGGAGGGGCTGCCCAGCTGCCAAGGGTTAGCCTCTCAAGGAGAAAGGAAGGGAGAGTGCAGGTAGAGCCAGGCACACAGGACGTGCCCTGAGGCATAGTGAGGTGTTGTGCAGCCATAGTAGATTTCGGTGGGGCCTCCAAGGGGGAAATGTTGGGGCGTGAGGTGACAAGATCAGCAGGTTCCTACTGCCAGGTCATGCTCTGGTGTCTCCGTGACATAGAGGGACCACAGAACATCCCTTCTGAGCAGCCGCTCTGTCTTATTACATCTGTACTCCTCTCACCTCCCACATCAGCTCATCCACAGATGCTGATGGGAATGGTCCTAAAGGAGACACGCAGTTAGAGGGCTGGAGAGAGGGCTCAGCAGCTAAGAGTGCTTGTTGCTCTTCCAGAGGACCTGAGTTCGATTCCCAGCACCCACATGGTGGCTCCTGGCCTCTGCAGGCACCAGGCAAGCAAGAAGTTCACAGACATACATACAGGCAACATACCCATACACATTTACTTTTCAATTGGATAGTAATATATTTACTATAATACCATTTTGCAACCAAAATGTTTTAAAATAATCCAAAATGTTTGGAACCCAAAATTCCAGATTTCAGGTTTTTTAGTATTTATATATATTTCACATGTTGAGCATTCTTAATCTGAAAACCCCAAACTCACAGCTCCAAACTCCCAAATCTTCTGAGCATCATGTCAGTGCTCAAAACATTTCAGATGTGGGAGTTTGGGTTTTCGGATTAGGGCTGCCTACCTTGAATTATTAAATACACAGTGCACTAGTTTCAAAGATACACAGATTTGGCAGTTTGCTTAAGTGGGATCCAAACAGACATCCTTAATAGCCATGGCCCAATTGCCCTTTCTTCTTTTCATTTTCCCCTGCAATTTATTTATTGAAGAAACTGGGTCATTTGTTATGTGGATTTCTCACTGGGTGGATTTTCTTGGCTGCATCCTCGTGGGGACATGTTCTCTGGCTCCTGCATTTCTGTTACCCAGGATTTGTCCCAGCTGCTTGATAAGGTTCATGCAGAAGTCACATCTTGTCCTCTTGCCCCGCACCGCCCCCCCACTCTCTCTCGTGATGTGAAGTGACCATTGAATAATATTTTTCAGACAGGGTCTCATATATTAGGCCAGCCTAGGACTCGGTATGCAGCCATGTGGAATGTGGAAATTTCTGGTCTTCTCTCCTCCACCTCTTCAGTTCTGGGATTACAGGCATGAGATACCACATTGGGATTATTTGGTGCTGGCGCTCCAACCCAGGCTTCCTACGTGGTAGGCAAGCACGCCACCAGCGAGCTGCATTCCTAGCCCTTATTAGTTCTTTGGAACAAGGTGTAGCCCAGTCAGGCCTAGAATTCAGTCTTCCTGTCTCCAACTCCCCCAACCTCTGCCCCACAACCCAGTGCTAGGGTTTTATACCCAAACCCATGAATCCATCAATGGCCCCAAAATAAAAGTGCCTCAATATCATCCTTTCTTCCACACTTATTACCTGGGATTTATTTCCAGGCAGAGCCCCCCTTCTCTCTGGTCAGCTATGCAGAAAAAGGCAGGGTAGTGAGTGTCTCATTCTTTCTGTCTGCATTTCCCATCTCAAGAAGTAAGTTGATTCGCTGCCCTTCCCCAGGAGTGACTGTTCTGTGTCTGTGACCTCATGAAGTTGAACATGTTCACTGTTCAGCGAACTGCCGTTTCCTTCCTAAAGCTCAGGTGGGTCTATTTGCAGCAGCTTCCCGATTCTTTTGGCCTAGATAGGGAGGCTGCGGGCCTCCGTGACTTGTGACATAATCGGATGTGGCATGTGGACAGATGTGTTTGGACTGTCTCCTCCCACCCTCATTGCCCCGCAGGCAGCAGAGAGACTGGGGGTGAAAAGCTACCGTGGAACCCACCCCACGCCAATTCTAAGGGCTATAGTGCAGGAGGGGATACTGAGGCCTCCAGGGATCCTGACTCTGGATCTCCGACCCTGGAGCCTCATTAGCTGTTTCTTGGGCCACAGTGGGCTCAGGGCCAAACCCTGTCTTTGACTAATGATCCTCCCAGGTCCCAGCATACCTCCCCATGCCCTTTGAGGACTCCCCCCACCCCGCCCCACTGCTGCAGTCCAGAGCACCCAGTGCAGTCTCGGGGGAGGAGGCAGCAAGACCGTGGGCCAGGCCCTCGGGCATGACTCTCTGCCATTGGGTATGATTCTGTATGCTTGGGCGGTTTCTCTGGACTTCAGCTTTCCATCTGTGCAGTGGAGTGAGCCCACCTCGTACAGGCCCCACTTTGTTATCCAGTGTTCTGCCTTCACAGAAAGCTAGGGAGG